GCACTCCAGTCTGGGCGACAGAGTGAGACTCCAACTCAAAAAATAAAAAAATAAAAAAAGAGGAGACATGACAATTAAACATCCTGTCGTTTAATAGGGTCATGGAACAGAAAAGGGACAGCAGGCAAAAACTAGGGAAAACTGGATAAAGTCTGTATAAAGTTGGTAATAATGTATAATATTGGCTCATTATCATAACAAATGGGCTATATGAATAGGAAGTCTTGATAAGAAGAAAACCATGTGTGGGTGTCTCTAAGAACTCTACCATCTTTGCCACTCTTGTGTAAATAAAAAAACTATCCTAAAATAGTTTATTAAAAGAAAACCTGTAGTCAGGATTGGGAGACTCAAGAAGTGTTTTCCTGAACAACCCTTCTTTTCTTATTGTCTGATGAGTGACTGCCACCAGGGTGAGTTTTGGTCTGTGAATACTCCGTGTGTATTTAAGGTTGGTAAAGAAGTAAGCACACAGATGCATTAATTCCATGGCAAGTCCAATTCAGTCAGAGCATTGGTATACAGGTGTGTTGTCCTGTCAACTTGACATTATCTAGGAGGGAATGACACTTTCCAATTCTTATTGGTGTCATAATCAGTTCTTTGTTTACAGTAGATTGGCTAAGGCATAAAGAAAAGTGGACTTACTTTTAAGAATAATGCATCTACCCATGCTCCAGAAAGGTGTGGATGAGCAGATTCATAGGGACTTCAGCCCTGCTGCTAGCTGAAACATGATATGTGGAATGTTCCTGGAATAAAAGAGCAGAATAAGAAAATGATGAGGAATTTTATAGTCAGAAATTTACAAAAAGGCTACAAATTCCACATGAGGTGCAATTAATCCCAGAATATTGGAGGTGCACATATTCAATTTAAAAATAACCCTAGAGCCTAGTCATGCAATACATTACTAGGTGACAGCAATGATTAGTTCTCAGTAAAACCACACTTTGTGTTCTGCTTCTGCATTTTATCAGAGTAAATGGTTTTCAAGCAGCATCTTGTGATGAATGACTTAATTTGGTTAGAGCTGGAGGTTTTGTTCTAGTCTTAAAATTTCCATCCAACTTGGTGATCTGCCTTCACGAAACTGTGGGGAGGGGAGGTCCAGGGCAGGTAGGGGGAACCAAGACATCCTGGCTGGTGCATGTAGTGGTGCCTGCTTCTACCAAGCGCCAGGCTACCAAGAAGCAGCTCCTCTGGGGTCAAGGACAGAGAAATACTGCCCAGTCCCCAGCATGTCATTTCCTTTAGAATGAAAGTCCTAGCAACTAGAGCTTACATGATGTCTGATGTGAGCTGGGTTAGACATGATGTTCTGACAAGGTGTGGGGCCACTAACTCCTTAGCACTCACAACAGTCAAGGAATGACGGCCTGGTGAGGGGGGGGGGGCATAGACCCTGGGATAACCTGTAAAAGTCACCTTTCTTTAAGCAAGAATGAGCTCATTGTGTGCAAGGTGTCATCTATAGGACTTCAGTCACCTGTCCTGCAGAGCCACACTTGGACTCCGGGGAGATGGGCCAGCAGGGTCAGTGTGGGCTTAGGAACCTTCCAGAACATTGATCTCCTTCATAACCTCTCCCCAGAGACAGACATGTGGAGCAACTAGGGAGGATGGTGTTCCACATCGGTTCCCACCATTTCTCTTAGAAGGTAGCCAGCCCATTTCCACAGATGACTGGCCACTTCCTCACCAGGAGCTGCTTGGGGTCCTGAGCTTGACCAGTCATTTCTCAGAAATCTATGAAGCTTCAAGCCAAACTTGATGGCTGCTTGTTTTCTTCCAAAACAGAACCACTTGTAGGAGAATCTAGATAACCCAGACCCGGCTGGAGAAGGTGCATCTGCATCTAGGCTTGACTCAGTACACTGCTTGGGACACCTTGCTGATTTTGTCACGATTGCACATTTGCCGGCCCTGCCCCTGCAGTGGCTTGGATCTGTCCTCACTGCTGTAAACACTGGCAGTGGGTCAGAAAGGGTGAGGGCCATGGAGCCTGTCAAAAGGGCGAGGGCCACGGTGCTGGAACCATCTCTACGAGATGACCGTGGCCTCTCGGGGGCTGGCATTTTCTTTCATTTGATGATCTAATTTGTTGGAATACTTTGTTTTCAGAAATTCATAGTTGAAAATAACAAATGGGAGGATAAAATCCATTATTTTAACAAATGCTGAGTGTCACTAGCGACTCCAGTGGAATGCTACCTGACCACGTGCAGATGTCTCAAGCACCCCCAGTTCCCGGGGCTGCACCACACCCGGCCTACCAAGACAGCTGTGCCTACCAGCAGTGCCCCGGACACAGCTGTTGTGTGGACACACACCCGTTGTCCAGGGCTTCTGTATCTCCATGCCAAGCCTGTGGTTGTAGAGCCAGCCTAGCTGGCAAAACAGGAATGTGACAAAGCAGCCCTGTGATGTGAGTCATAGTCACTATTTATATGGACAAGGTTGCCAGGACATTACCAGAAGTGCTGTGTGGCATCCCTGCAGCCACACGCCCTTCTGAATTCACAGGGCATATGTCTAAGTTGTGATTGCCACCCTTTGAAGGCAGGCTGTTCTCAGTACTGGGTTATAACCACATCCAGGGGTAAAGACTATTTGTAGAGCTAAAAAAAAAAAACTGCAGATAAAAACCTGACCAGGTGAAGCCACATTTCCTTCTAGCTTTGTTCTCTCTTGGGGAAAAGAGTCTTCCTTTTCATTGTAACTCCTCAGGGAGCACCCATCTCCTCTTCAGCAGTTTCCTGTTATCATAAAAAAAAAGGGGGGGACTAATCCGTGAGGTCCATCTTTGTTTTAACAGACTTTACTGTACACACCACACTTTCTAAGCATCATTTACTCGTGTGATTTCTGACAGTGGTTCCACATTGAGTCACCTTTTAGGGATTGACATATCCTGCCCATGTCATTGAATTAATATCCACTCGAAGGCAGACTTGTGCAGGTTCATTCACTTGCCAGATGCAGAATGATCACATAACAGTAACGATGTTGGTCTTATCTAGAAAGCATTATAGAACTCCCCTGATTGATCTGACAGTGTCTATCAGGTCCTTACCATGTATGCGGCTAGGGCCTTCAGATGTGAGCCATAAGAGGCCCTGCCCCAGCCCTCAGGTGGGCCCAGTCAGGTGTGTGTGGGAAGGCAGACATGTAAACAGATGGTCATGATGCTCTCGGGGACGTGCAGTTGTATGGACACACTCAGAATCAAAACTTAACGAAAGCCTGCTGCTTCTCACTGAATGTAGCAGTCTGATTTTAAGCAGGTAAAATCCCATTTTTCATGCACCAGTGTGGTCTCTGTGTAAGTAAGCTGACTCGTGAACTGTTTGCCTCCTGCTTTGACCACCGTGGTCCTACCCACCGGGTGCCTAGGTCATGTCCAGCCTGGCAGAGCCATGACCCCAGCAGCTGGGGACTCATGGGCGTCTCACACATGGTAGATGTGGCCACTCCAGGGGCTGCACACATCCAGGCTGCTGGAGTCATGTGGTCCTTCCTGGGAGAGATGTTCACAGAAGAAGAGGATTAACAGTGAGCAGATATTTTAGTAATGCAGTGTTTTCCACCTATTTTCTTCTGCAACAAGGGTTGTGAGATCTTCTCCGTGAAGGGCTGGATAGTAAATATTTAGGCTTCACCAGCCCTTCTCTGTGGTACCTTCTCTAGCTGCCCTTGTAGCAGGAAGCGCCTCAGACAAGGCAGAAAAGCAGGCACAGCTGCGTCCTAATCAAAGGTGATTCACAAAACCAGAGGGGGGGTCAATGTGGCCCATCGGCGTGCTTGCAGCTGCTCCCCTCCCCCAGAGTAGGCTATGTATTTCAGTCTTGGCAAACACTTAGTTTCCTGAAGAGCAGGCCGTAAGTGCTCAGCCTGGGGTTGGGACACCTGTCTCCAGGCCTCAAGGCTGACTCTTCACAACCTTCATCTGATCAAGTGACTTCCCCCAGCCTTAGTCTTTCCCTCAAGAAGAAGGGATTGGACACGACTCTAAGATGCCTTGATCCCTGGCATTCTCTGTTTCTGGGAGGACCTCGGAGACTGTCTCCCAGAGTTAAATTCTATAGAGAAAGTGTAGGCTGTTATTGGATTTTCAGAAGATTTGGCTCCAGGCAGACGGGAAGAGACCCTGGTTACAGTGGACAGAGGGACAGTTTGAGTGACTTTAGCTGGTGAGAAGCTTCTTATTAGACTACAGAGTCAAGAGGTTGCACCGAAGGTAGAGTGATTCTAACCTGCATTAGAGTAAAGAAATGTCCTGAATTCCCAAGCCCCTGTGGCCGAGGCCACACCACCCTGGTAGCAGCAAGGACTGCCATCAGATGCCCCACTCTGCCTGAGAGAAGGTTGAAGGAAGTGGACATGCCCAGGAGTGGGGAAGGGACAGGAGGGGCAGGGACCAGAGACACGGAAACTGCTGGACTTGGGGTTCCTATAGAAATGGCTTTCCAAAAGCTGTATATCTGTCGGCTCTAGATTCATATTCAAATCATCATCGGGCCACAGACCCCTGTTGAGAGAAAGCCTCTGAATATGTTGAGGACCTTTCTCATTCTTGGTGGCCGGAGAGGCCAGAAATAGCTCGGTAGGAGGAGGCTATGGAGGCAGTCAGTGTACCCTCTTGGGATTCTCAGGGTCCCCTGAGTGTCACCTCCTGCAGCAGTCCCCAGCCTTTTTTGCATCAGGGGCCAGTTTTATGGAAGACAGTTTCTTCATGAACCAGTAGAGGGAAGGGGATGGTTTCAGGATGAAACCCGCCTCTTTTCCAAATGCCTTCCTTGGGGAGCACTAGGCACTTTATTTCTACTATTATATTGTAATGTATACATTTCTATTATTACATTTTATTATATAATGAAATAATCACACAACTCACCATTTAAAAAAGATGCAGACAGAAGTGGTAAATAAAATAATGGGCAGGCTATGCACAGACTAAAATAACTGTCGGATTCTGACTTAAAGCTTGCCACCAGATGCAGCTGTACAATTGAGGTACATCAACTCACTTGCCACTCTCTGATAAGATTTTGGTGTGAGTCTGCAGGCAATTGATTTATTGTGGTTTCTGTGCAGTCAAATCTCATTCCTAATGTAAATCTGTATTTTGCAGTCGCTCCCTAGCACTAGCATCACTGCCTCAGCTCCTTCTCAGATCATCAGACATTAGATTCTCACAAGGAACAGGCAACCTAGATTCCTCACATGCGCAGTTCGCAATCGGTTTCGTGCTTCCATGAGAATCGAATCCTGCTGCTAATCTGACAAGAGGTGGAGCTCAGACAGGAATGCAAAGATGGGGATACAGATGAAGTTCATCTCCTGCTGTGCGGCCTGGTTTTTAACTGCTGTGCAGTACATGGCCCAGGGGTTGGGGACCCTTGATCTGCCAGTCCTGGGAAACCTGTCAGCATGTCCTATTCAGCTGGTTTCCCACCAGCCCAGAAGAGGGTATGCTGCATCAGTGCCACTGTGCTGTGGGAAATGATTGTAGCTACCACTAAGACTGACATTTTTATTTCAATATTCATGTATTTCTTTTCACCTATATTGGAAAACAATAGAGCTAGCAAGTCAAAGCTTCATAAATATTGTATGAGACAAGGTTACATCAAAAAGACAAATAGATTTAAAGTTGATTTAAAGAAAAATATTAAATAAATAGTAATAATATACTTAAATATGACAAAAATTGAGAAAGTGGTATGTGAATAGTTGATGTCCATTCTGTGTAAATTCTCTGAAATCCTCAAGGAATACATGGAAAAGCCGTTTTTATTTTTCCTCCTAGTATCCCAGCCACTTCACATTCAAAAGGTAGGGGGAGAGAAGATAGAGTGAGAAAAAAAAGAAAAAGAAGAAGGGTCTTCTGGCCTCCCGCCCCCACTTCTCCGCTGCTATCAGTCCCTCTTCTGTCCCCTGTTTTTAATCCACATGTGTACTTTTTATCATAGAGTTGGGGGTTTTATACTTTTCTTATTAAATGGAGCTCAACAATTTGCTTCACTGCAAATGCTCCTTCCCTGCAGTTTTGCTGTCTGCACTCCTGGCCTCTTGTGGTTCCTCAAACCCCACACAACCTTCCCTATCATCTGGCATCTATGTAGGTGACACAAGATGTTCCTGTAGTTCAGATGCCGGGGCACCCACCTCTTCTCCAAATGCCTTCCTTGGGGAGCACTAGGTACCTCCATTTCTTGTCTAGAATTTTCCTTGGTGTTTTATAATCTGGAGTGCTCTTTTGCACCCTGTTGTTCCATATTTACCTCTGATCTCCGTAGAGGCCTCGTGTCTGTGACATCCTCTCTCCATTCACAGACGTCTCTTCCTTCTCAATTTACAAATATTCCAGATGTCCATGAGGACTCTGTGTCCCAGGAGGGGCTGTAGCTGACACCGTCTGGTTTTCCCCTGTTTAAATGAAGCTTTCCTACTTGGTCTGCCCCCTTTTCCCACACCTGCACTCCTGATATTTAAAAGAGTCGCCTCTTTGAACATGTTCATGCAATAAAATTACTCACGCGCTGCCTATTTTGAGCACTCTCATTTGGGGTGTGCTCAGTTAAGGTTATTGTTTGTCTCACTGTTCTGGGTCAAGACACAATAAATGGGACTTGGGGGTCACCACAGGTGTCCTGGGTAGCCCTGGTGTGTGGACGATTGGGCTTCTGATGGGCATCCTGTAGGACGTTGAGCTCTGGGAAAAATAATGTCTAGGGAAAAAATGACTGATTGTTCTTTTTGTGTGTTTTTCCTTTTATAGGCTGGATTACAGTGGACCTTCCAGAGAGTTTTTCTTCCTGGTATCCAGAGAACTCTTTAACCCATATTATGGCTTATTTGAATATTCAGCCAATGACACGTACACTGTACAAATAAGTCCCATGTCTGCCTTTGTAGACAATCACCACGAATGGTGAGCATGTTCCCTACACTTATCTTCCATTGATATTCTGTGATACTAGTTTTTTTTGGGGGGGGTTGTTTGTTTTTTTAGAGGTACCTACATTTCCTTTAAGATTTTTTTCTCGAATGAAGTCATATTTTTGGTTAAACACCTCATTTGACTCTTGTTTTTGTTGTCAAATCAGTCTTCAGGCTAGAAATAGATTATGTCCCATAAGATCCATTTGAGTGAGCTGTGTCAAATTAGAGAGATTTTTTTTTTCCCATTGCAAGAAAGTTGGTGATGATGTTAGGTTCCTGGGGAGGTCCCTGAGCTCTTCTTGGAGCCTTTGGGCATCTATGAGCTCTGGGCAGGGTGAGGGCGAGGAGGGCAAGGGCCCTCCCAGAGACCAGGCAGCTTCCAGAGCAGCCCCGGGGAGTGCCCCTGTGGGAGTGGGAGCTGCTGGAGTAGGCTGAGTAGAAGGGGGTTCTTGTGGCTGTGGGGTTGGGTGGCCAGAATGGGGTATGCCCACAGGGCTACTCGCCCACACTAGCCACTTGGAGTTTGTGACCAAGGGTGGCCTCTCTCCTAATCTCTCCCACAAAATCATCAAGGAAAGCGGACTTAGGATTCCCACCTGGAGACTGTTTGTCCTGAAAACCCCACATCGCACTTCCAGACTTCTTCACACCCTTCTTAAGTCTCTGCATGGGTAGATCACATATTTGCATAGCTCCTGTTTGATTTTTCCTGCTCATTTTCCCTGAGGACAGTGAAGGTGAGAATGTGAGTGGGGCTCCCAGAAAAGGTTCTGGGAGTCTGAAGTCATGATAGCAACATTGGTGGAGGGGAGGTGTTAACAACAGGACTCACACTCCAGATGAGCCCCACTGGGCCGTGGCATGGAGTCCCTCTGTGGCAGCTACTGGGGTTGTGCTGACGTCGGGGGGCACAAGAGAAGCCCACTGTGGACGTCGGTCTCAGAATGGCTGCCTCGTGACACACAGACTTCCTGTGGGACTCCCAGTGTGGGCTGATGCTTTTGGAAGCATCAGACTTCAAAATTTGATCACTGAAAAAGAGCAGCAAGTCCAGTCATACAAGTAAACTTCATAAAGTTTCCAAAGTGATTCAGGATAGATTTGAGCCTTGGGGTTTTAGAGAACAGAACAGAATGTCCCAAGAGAAACCCCCCCAATGTCCATATGCATAATTCTTGCACGTGGAAATCATTGTCAGGAGTGGGACTTGAGCAGAATAGAGACAGGAAGTTCCCCAGTGTAAGTCTGGGCTTTTCCTCAGAAGGGACCTGCTGCTGTGTTTGTATCAGAGGTGACCTTCTAGTCTTCACACAGGCACACACCAGAACACACCCAACCTAGAGGTCTCATTCTGTCAGCAACTCTTAGAAATGATTTGGGCCCAGTGGCTCACTCCTGTAATTCTAGCACTCCGGGAGGCTACGACAGAAGGATCACTTGAGGCCAGGAGTTCAAGATCAGCCTGGACAACAACACAGCAGGATCCTGTCTCTACAAAAAATTAGTCAGGCACAGTGGATTACACCTGTAATCCCAGCACTTTGGGAGGCTGAGGCAAGAGGATTGCTTGAACATAGGAAGTTGAGGTTGCAGCGAGCTATGATGGTACCACTGTACTCCAACCTGGGTGACAGAATGAGACCCTGTCTCTACAAAAAAAAAAAAACCAGAAGTGGTTTGGAGATTTTCACTGAAATGCTGTTGGGGGTTCATGTTGGTTACATGGGTGCCATGTGGTGGATATTATTGATGCGGCATGAGAGTGGAGCCGTGTCTCAAAGTATGGAGTGAAGCAGGTGTCCTCAACAAGTCGCATGGATTCTTGCCTCATGAAGACACAGTTCACAGGTACACAGACTCTCATAACTTGTGGGCACTCATCTTGGACAAACAGAGATGGGTAGGGCCAGAAGGCATTCCTAAAGCAAATAGAACCACGAGAAGCAGCTCCACGTGTAAGCTGACTCTCATCTCCTTGGCAGGTTCCGGTTCAGTGGGAGGATCCTGGGCCTGGCGCTCATTCACCAGTACCTGCTGGATGCCTTCTTCACCCGGCCCTTCTACAAGGCCCTCCTGAGGATGTAAGATCACTGCATCACTTGTGCGGTCAGCACATGAACACACAGCACTTACTTTATAAAAGAATCTGCCGTCAAAGTCGTTATCTGCTCACTGTCTCAAATCTGTTGTGATCAAGCTTGGTGGTCTAAAGTTCTAGGACAGTTTCAGATACAGGGGCTGCGTTTCTCCTGCTCTGATCCTGTGCTCCCACCTCACCCCCAAAGCCTGTGTTGCTCCACTCCACCTGGCTGAGTCTCATCCATTGCATCATGTGCTTCTCCTGCAGTTATTGTCCTGCAGACACGGCCCTGGAATTCTTGTGATTTTGACGCTGAGTTTTAATAGAACAGCTGTGGGCTGGCCTGGGTGACTCATGGCCCTGTCCCTTAGGAGATGCTTTGTATATTTGGCGGGTACCAACTTCCAGCTGCCCACTCTGGGTTCAGACCTTCATGCTCCTTTGTTTTGTTTTTCATGTGTCTGTTGGGTGGATGGTGCCATCCTTTTCTGAAACTCCCCCTGTGTGCAAAACAGTAATTGATGACGGCAGATGAAAAGTCTGCACTCACAGAGCGGCTTCATTGTTGCCACGTGAGATTGTGATTCTTGTCAATGTGACCCTGCCATGTCTGTCCACCATCAGTCACCATTTCCAAGACTAGGCAGGAGCAGGCAGTTGTCTGTGGGGGAGTCACTCAAGATAGCACCAAGAGGGCACTGAGTGATCACTTGGCTCTGTCTAGCCGTTTCTCTCGCCAAGCTGCCTACCTGCTTTCTATAAAAAGTAAGCCAAGACCTCAAATGAAAATGAGCAAGATATTTCTTGGGGCCCTTGAGGGTCAGAAGAAGCCCTCCTCCTGGCCACACCTGGGGCCACGGGGCCATCTCTTGCCTCTCACCTTCGCGTTTCATTGCCTTCTTTTCATCCTCTCCTTTTGGCTTCCTGAGAGCATAGTCCACACTGACTACCTACACATATCTCAGGGCCACACCCTCAACATACTCTTGCTGGTTTCTTTCCCCCCAAGAACCTCTGGAGGCTTCTGGATAATTCTTTCAAGGCCATATTCTGCTGACTTTGACATTGCCACCAGCCCCTGTCCTGTGTACTCTTGGGTCTCCCCTCACTGGCATCCATGACACTGTTTCCTCTTCTGTCTCCTTGGTGACATTTCCTGATTTGCCCCTAAACTCCAGCGTTTCTGAAGCTTCCAGTACTGGCTGCCTGCTTTTTCCACAGGTCTGTTTTATGTTGCTGTAAAGAAACACCTGAGACTGGGTAATTGATAATGAGGTTTCTTTGACTCATGGTTCTGTGTGGCACTGGTACTTGCTTCTGGTGAGGCCTCAGGAAGCTACAATCATGGTGGAAGGGGAAGGGAGCAGGCATGTCACATGGCATGAGAGGAAGCAAGAAAGAGGCGGTCCCAGGCTCTTTTAAACACTTAGCTGTCAGGTAAACGAATAGAGCAAGAACTCACTAGGACCACCATTGGGAGGGCACCAAGCCATTCATGAGGGATCCGCCCCATGACCCAGTCACCTCCCATCAGGCCCAACATGGTCTCCAACATGGAGACCACATTTCAATATGAGATTTGTAGGAGACAACATCCGAACTATCTCATGTGCTCTTGTGGAGAAATGCCTTCACCTGTCTCCTCTGCTGACTTCCACACCTGTACCTGAGTCTTGGTCTCTCTTGAGGTATGTCCTCACACAGTCAATGGTTCACCAAATACTTCCACTTGGCTGTCTCACAGGGACCTCAGAGTCAGCATGGTTAAAACTAAACTCATTAATTTCCTCTGCCCTAAAAATTCACCTCCTCTCATGCTATGCTCTGCTCTGCTGATATTCTTGGGTCACTCTTGTCAGAAATTGGGAGTCACCCTTGTACAGGGATGGTGGATACTTAATACACATCCCATCATTCCCTACACTGATCCCATTCCCATCATTTATTCCCTACTGAACTCACTGTGGCCTCAAGTATCTTTTCAACTTAGAGACCTCAGGATTGGTGCTTAATCAGAATTGACTTTCAATATGAGTTTATTTGCCATTCCTAATTTAGACACCTTTCTTAATACCCTCAAGAGAAATCATGTACTAATTGCTACATGTCTGCCTCCTAAATAATTCTCTTCTCCACCCTTGATATCTCTGCCCAAATTAGAACATTTATCTTATTTGGGCCAGATGACTGTGGTGGTCTTATCTATGAATTAGTCTTTACCCCGTAATGATAACCACACCCTCCCCCCCCCTCATTTTAAATTATCCTTTATCTTACAACTTCCAGAGGAATTGTTTCTAACTCACATGTCACATCTGATCATGTGACATGTGTTGCCCATCAAATCTTGTAGTAGTTGAATCACCAAGCTCCTTGGGATGTCACTCAAGGCCTGTGCCCGGCTGCCTCTCTAGCCTCAGTTTCTAGAGACTCTGGCTTGTGGTTATCTCTCTAGGACTGTGATGTGCTTGACATACTCTGCACACTGCGTGCCTTTGCATTTTGTTCATGTTATTCTCCCCCTCCCTTCTCCTCCATTTATTCCTTTTAAACATCCTACAATATTTAATGTAGGCATCATATGCTCCAAAAAGCATCTCCAGAATCTCTGTGTCCATGCAAATGTCTCTATGCTTGCTGACAGTTCCTGGCACCAATCTTACTTTTTTTTAGTTGAAGTGTAACATACATTTTAAAGGCCTATGAACTTTAAGTGTTACTTCCCCGTGTATCACTTATCACCTTATGTTAACTTATCTACTTGCATGCCTGTCTCCCCAGCTAGTCCATTAGCTCCTGAGAGCAGCAGCTATTCATCAAGTAGCTGTTAAGATGCCTGGTACATACTTGATACCTGATAAATTTTTAGATTGAACCAAACAAAATGGCGCTTGAAACTGGGCAAATTTCAAAACAACAATAGCAAATCAATTGCTACCATGTACGACAGGGCTATATAACACAAACTCCACCTCATGTGGATCCTCTCCCTGCAGTGGAAAAATGATGAAAGGGGGAGAAATACAGAAAGGTATTATGAGGGAAGAAGGAGTCTGTGGCTAGTGTTTTCAGGATCCCAGAAAAATAAGGAGCATGAAGGAAAGGGGGTGTGTGTGAACATGAATCATAGTCTAGTCTTTAAAAGAAAACAAATGGAAGTACAGTCTAGAAATGTAGACAGAATCTCTCACTAGGAGAGCAATACCTTACGGAAGTGCAGTTCAGCCAGGAAGAGCACTGGGTCCAAACTGTCCTGATGTGGGCCCTGATCTAGCATTGTGTATGGATGGTCTGTGCCACAGCCACCCCCTACCTCCCCAGTCTGTGTCTGTGGGAAAGGGGACAGGCCAAGGGTGCCTCAGGGATTCTGTATGTCTAGGATTTTCTAATCCACCAAATTTCTAAGTTACTTTAGTGGCTTGGTAACTGAACTTGGCTAAGAGTATTCCAGAAGTCCCTGCCTACTTTGTCTCTCTTGTTCTTATCTTTATATTTCAATTTCTTTCCTGGTGACTTTGGGCCTTTGCTAATTGTGCCTGCTTGTTTGTTTCTGTCATTTGCCATCTCAGCCTGTGTGACCTGAGTGACCTAGAGTACCTCGACGAAGAGTTCCACCAGAGCCTGCAGTGGATGAAGGACAATGACATCCACGACATCCTGGACCTCACCTTCACCGTGAACGAGGAAGTGTTTGGGCAGGTCTGTGGCTGTGCATGCCATTGCCTGAGGGTGATGACTGAGGGCATTGGTGGGCAAAGGGTTAATTCCTTGGCCAAGTTCAGATGCGTATTGACTTGGGCTTGCTGGTGATTTAAGTGCAGGGTTACACACAGTTCCAACAATCTCAGCTACAAAGATTTCCTAATGCCAGCTGCAGATTAACTGCCCTCAGTTACAGATGGTGAGAACTGTTTATGTGGAAAGCAATCTTTTTTTTTCCAACTAAACTATCCACATGAGATATGAGTGTGTGCATTGTAGAGGATGTGGTTTTAAAAGTTCCTGCCATCCCAGAGGCAAATATTAAATTACTTAATTGGCATTAAATAATTAGCAAATTATTTAATGAATATTATTAATAAATTCAATTATTCATGAGTACTAGATTATTTGATTGGCATTTATATTTAGCTTTCATTCAGATTTAAGAACTGAAATTGATTGATTTGATGATGAAAAAACATAAACAATATCTTGGAGAAGGCTTAAAAACAGAACTGGCTAGGCACAGTGGCTGATGCCTATAATCCCATCACTTTGAAGAGGCTGATGTGGATGGATTTCTTGAGTCCAGGAGTATGAGACTAGCCTGGGCAACATAGCAAGACCCTGTCTCTTAAATTTAAAAAAAATACAGGCAACTTATTACTGGTTTTTTTTTTTTTTCAAAGTTGGTGGAAGGGTAGGTGAAAATATTTTTTTCATAAATTATATATGAGTTCATAAATGATATTCTTTAGGCATTCCTGTTTGGTTGGGTTTTAGAACTCCATGTGTTTTGAAAAAGAAGTTCTGAATTTGCATTCACTTGAGTGTCATTCTGCTTCTTTGAGGTAAATCTTCATCTGAATGTCAGCTCTCTAGACGTAGTAGATTCTGAACCTTAGAGGAACTTGTGAAATGGGTTTTGTCAAACATTCCAAAGCCAGGGGCTGCTATCTGGAGCCAATTTACCTGCATTGTTAAAAGTCAGGATTTAGAACTTAACCACCAGCACTTATAATGCTCTGTTTTCTACCATGGAGGTTTTCGAATGTCAGCTCCATGACTAGTTTTCACTGGGCGTGGTAGTGTGCTGGCTCTGTGCAGGTTACCTGCCTGTGGGATGCCCTGGGGCAGGGCTGGAACTGGTGGAGGCTGATTCCAGCTGGAAGGTCAAGGGTCACAGCTCTCACATCAGGAGCATTTAGCGATGGTCATTCCTCTCCTCTTGTCATCTCAGATTACCGAGCGAGAGCTGAAGCCAGGGGGAGCCAACATCCCAGTCACAGAGAAGAACAAGAAGGAATACATCGAGCGGATGGTGAAATGGAGGATTGAAAGGGGCGTAGTACAGCAGACAGAGAGCCTGGTGCGCGGCTTCTACGAGGTGAGACAGGCCATGGGCCTCAGACCACATCAGGGCAGCTGCAGCATCAAAGATGACCCCGGCCCCCTTCACTCCTCTTGCTCGTCTGCTGCCTCCACTGCTGCTTTTTCCATGGAAAAGGTCCAAGATGTGTCCCCTGTGTGTCAAGAGCACCAGAAAAGCTTCATGCTTTACAAGCCTCTCTTCATGCTGCAAGAGATCCTTGCAATAAATGTCATGGCTTAGATTCAAGTGGCATTTGATGATGCAAGACCACTGACAACATTCGAAGTGCATCTCACTTATGCTTGGTTGGGTACACATGGGTAATCAAACCCAGTGCTTGACACATGAAATGATTGTATCTGAGGAAACTGGTAAACACAGTAGATCTTTTTCAAGTGAGAAGAAAGACTATATTAATCAGTTATGAAGCAAGAGTTCTGTTGAAAATCTCATCAGCGTGATGCTAAAAAAATACTTTAGGTTTGTAGAAAGCTTTGCAGTTTTTCAGGTGCCTATCCAGGGGACACCCACATCATTCTTGAAACTCCTCATGCTCACCTTACTGAAGCTGAATTTGAGCTGATACTTCTTCCACCCTCACACCATGCCCTCTTCTCTTTTTCTCCCACAGGTGGTAGATGCCAGGCTAGTGTCTGTCTTTGATGCAAGAGAGCTGGAGCTGGTCATCGCAGGCACAGCCGAAATCGACCTGAGTGACTGGAGAAACAACACAGAGTACCGTGGAGGTAAGTCTGCACTCCAGAGGGCTGGCCTTATCATTTCAGCTAAAGGCTCAGCCTACTGGTCTGAATGCAGGACCAGTGGGAGTACTTCCACTCTAACTATTGTCCTCATGAGGTTTCCCTGAGACCTTGGGAAACCCTCCCTTTCCTAGTTACCTCACCTGCCAGGTGGGAGATATTTACACACCCCGAAGGATGTCACAACTGGTAATTGTCGATGAGGAAATGTGACCATCAGGACACTAATTAATTAGTTCATGGAGTTGTCGGTGTAGCCGGTCACACACCAACTGTCCCATTTTCACTCTGAAGCCAGAGGAAGCATGCCCCATGGGCCCTAGCCAGCAGTTTTTCTCCTGTTCATTGAACTACTTACCAGCTGAAATCCACAGTTGAGACGCCTGAATGGAATGAGATATGATTCTCAGAATGCCACCATTTGTTGGAGAAGCCCTTCTAAATTCAAGTATCAAGTTCAACTGAGAAGAAAACTTGACTCAGATTAGTTAAAAACAACATTGACCCTTCACCACATGGGAAGCTTTGAAAGTGGCACATTTGTTGATCAGTACAAATTATCAGTTAGTAACTGGGACCTCAAAGCCACTGAAATTTGATTGTGACATTAAAACTTTGCTAGGTGCCTGATGGTCACCCAGAGCTAAGGTTTTATTCAATAACATTAAGTAAAGAAAGAACACATGTTCTAGAATGTATTGCAGTATTAGAAAGTCTTCAGAGATTCATGACAAAATGCCAGTTGTGTTCTGATTTGGGTTTTATTTTTTAACTCAAAATGTAAGAGGTTCGCCATAGTTCTGAACTCGGATAATGAAAAATACAAACTTAACATCACTGAGTCAATCCCCTCATAGAATAAATGAAGAGCTGGACACATCTCTAATTACCTGTGAGTTAAAACAGAGATTTTTTAAAATAAGCTTAAAAGTATGGAGTGCAAAATGTCTTCCCATGTGCTCCATTTCACATGTCGCCTGTACTGACCGGGCACCCCTTCGCCACTGGCCTCGTCACAGTTCCTGGGAAGCTGTTTAACCACATCCTCATGGCTGCTGTTTCTGCAGTCCCGCTACTGACATGAGCCTTTTCCTGCTGGCACCATTAGAACCAGTAGACAACTTTGACCACGATGATTTTGTCAGGGAGACCCTTTTCACCAGCTCGAGCACAGATTCTCCCCCTTACCTGGGAGTTTCATTCCATAGATGTGCAGTGCTCATGCCTCCCTGCCAGAGTCTGACAGCAGTGCAAACGAGGAGTCAACCACCTTTGTATTTACACAGTACAAAAATCTCATTTGCTAAAGTGGCCTAATCAAGCACCTGTTTCTTTGGTTATTGTGAATCTCATAAAATGAAACCCTTGGAAGAGCAGTCACAGGGTTTGCTCCTGGGCTGCCTGTCTGCCCACTGGCACTAAATGAGTAGGTGGCTGATCTGCTCCTGCCACATGTACCCATGGCAGCTGTGGGTGGAGAACAGGGTGAGATGCACCCACTCGCCCTCCTCCAAAAGGGTTGGCATCAGCAGCAAAAGAGAAGTGGGAAAGGCCTTGTTCCCAAGGTCAGAATATGCTAAAGCCACCAAGAACCAGTGTACTCACCGTGTGGATGAGAAAACCCTGCTCGTGTCAAGCAGTGGGGTCCTCCCTAGAGATTGGCCATAACCACCTATCACCAGGTCCACCCAGTCAAGTTTGCCCTTCACCTGGATCCTTTTTTGCTTAGGGGATGGATTATCACTGATGAAATGGTAAACAATAATGTGACAGTGTCCCCAAACCCTACGACCACAGAAATAGAAAGAAAAATTCAGATTAAAATCATTCTACCCACCTTTTGTTTTGGGCTGTTGACTCCGAATTAAAGTAGCATTTGCACATATTAAATGTGTCTGGTAATTGTCTTTTATCACTAATTATACCCTCATCCTTGTCAGTCTTCTCTCTGAATTAATTTGTTTTTTCACTGAAAAGTTTTGGAATTCACTACTGCCTTAACCCATCGTGAGATGATGCTTTTGACATTGTATTAAATTCTACCAAAGTATGGAATACAAGTAAAACTTAGGTGGATATTATTTAGGCTTTATGGGTTAGAAGAATTGAAGTTAACTTTTTCTTTTTTATTAATAAATGTGAAACTAATTTGATTTTAAGATATGAACAGTATGTATAGCTTTTAAAAGAGCTTCCAGTTGTATATCCATTTGTATAAATTATTTGATGAACGTGCCTCTCCTTTGCCATGGGAATGTCTGTTTTCTTTGCTCTTTTACCATTGAGCTTAGGACTGTGCTTGGCCTAGTGACTTGAAAATTATTTCTTATGTGAACAACTGAAGGAGTTAAGCATTGCTAGTAACACCCACTGTATTGTATCTAAATGATATGGCTAAAATAGCTTGTTTGCTGTTCTCTTCACCGGCTTAACTTAGTGGCCACTAACTGAACACAGAGAGCTCCTGGTTTAATTTAATGTTATTTTGTTTAACTTGTGACACTCATATTATTGTATTTACAGAGGTATTTCTCAATCTTAAGTTACAGACAATCTTTAAAAACCCCAAGATGATGTTTTATGTCTGGTGGATTTGTTTGTTACTATCTTTGTGGCTTAAGATCAGAGAGTCAGAGTGACATGGGCTTTTGTGATTGGTTTTGATAGGTTACCATGACAATCATATCGTCATTCGGTGGTTCTGGGCCGCAGTAGAAAGATTCAACAATGAGCAACGACTAAGGTTGTTACAGGTAAGATGCCGTTTGCTCATCTTTGTAACATGTTAGTATGACTGTTAGAAGGGTATACCTCTCCATAAATGCACACCATATTTACCTGGAAATGCAGGACACCATTTCCAGACTCCTCTGGTTGCACAGTTACCCCAGGTGAGTCAGAGCATCTTGTGGGAGCCTTGAGGATTTGCCAGCTCCAGTCTGAGACTCCCACTAACAGCATCTGCCCTCAGGACAGTATGGTCCCTTCAGCAAGAGGCACACAAGTGCCAACCAGCATCCCTAGCAGTGGAAAGAGATGACCTTCCATCCTTTCAGAAAGGGCCTAGTTCATTGATAAAGAGTCTTTCCTTCCCTCCAACTTTCCACAGAGTTGAGGAAACAATGACATTCCAGAACACTGGGAAAACAATGTGTGGGGGAGGCCGGGGATGGTTATAGTCATCGAGGGCAATTGCTGGCTGGTTGCAGCTAAAGAAGTATCAGAAATGAGGAAGCCTCTTGGATGGTCAGGCAGAGCCTTACAAGTAGGCCAGGTCTTCCTCCCTTGGATTAAGGATCTGGGCCTCAAATTTGCAGGCCCAGAAATAGTATATTTTTTATCCATCCCTAATTGATCGGGAACTGATACCGGGTAGAATCAGGTTAGCTGACACTCCTCCCTTATCTGCCTGTAAGTAGATTTGGGTTAGCAGACACTCCTACCTTATCTACCTCTAGGTTGACTCGGGTTAGGCCATACTCCTACTTTATTTGCCTGTAGTGGGACCCTGCCTGGCTCGAGCCTCTGAGCTGGTGTTTTCCCCTCTAAGCCCTCATTTCCATCACCTTTGGTGCATCGTCCTTCCCTAGTGTTCCTTCCTGGCTGTTTGCTGTCATTCTCACATCATGGCAGTTCCACCCTGGGACATCTTGACTTTGGAGCTCTCTGCCTGTGCCTCCCAGGAGCTCTGTGTGGTGATGTGACAACTATCCCTGCCCGGGTCCCTGCCTCACTTTCTACCTCTGTTTTCTTGGCTTCCAGTTTGTGACAGGCACATCCAGCATTCCCTATGAAGGATTTGCTTCTCTCCGAGGGAGCAACGGCCCCAGAAGGTTCTGTGTGGAGAAGTGGGGGAAGATCACTGCTCTTCCCAGGTAGGATAGGAGATGACCTGCTGTGCTGCCTCTGTGGTGTTGGGGAGTTTGTCTATGTCCATATGGAGTAGTTGTTTTGTATGCTAAGAGGTTGGGCAGGGGAAAATGCTTTAGAGTGGATTTCTCTCTGATTGTCTTTCTAAATGAAAGGGGAGAAAGAACTCTCTGGTCACACTTAAAACACAGACACAAACAGGACAGAAGCCGTGCATTTGTTGGCAGGAGGAGAGCAACCTTGGTCAGTGTGCTTTTGGCTTCCTACAACTGGGGTGCAAATCTCCATGTTTTCAGACACTCTAATCTTAAGTTTATTAATGACTGTTTAGAATCCCTTCACTAAAAATTGTTCCAAAGGATTTTAGGCCACTTGAGCACATGTGGTGTGTCTTTTGCCTGGACCATCTATGTCTTAGTTCCATGGAAGTATCTCTGTGCTGTGTTCTCATTCATAGCAAGAGCATACATTTCCTTGGAGTGGAAAAAATTGCTTTGCCATTTCTACTAATAAAAGCAAGAGACTGGCAAGGTGCTATTTATGAAGAAAAATCATCTGGGGTTGACTAGATGGAGCTAGAGCATAGAACAGAGAGGACAAACAGACAAAAGAGGGACTGAGAAAGACTCATTTTAGAGGGATTCCTTCATCCAATCAGCAATTGTACTACAGGACCTCAGAATACCTCAAATTTTACTAATAAAACTATAATCTGGAGCAATTAAATGGTATTAGGCACCCCAAGATGTCATCCTGTTTCTTTAAGTACAAATGACTTTAGGAAATCAATTAATAAAGGCTTTTTATTAACAATTGCATGACACTAGTTCTTAAGAATTGTACTCTTAAGTCAGGCATCGTAGCAGTGCCTGTAGTACCAGCTACTCAGGAGACTGACAGTAGCACTTGAGCCCAGAAGTTAGAGGCTGCAGTGAGGTTTGATCTGAATCCAGCCTGGGTGACAGAGTAAAACCCTGTCTCTCAAAAAAAAAAAAAAAAGAATTGTTAGCTGGGCTCGGTGGCTCAGCCTGTAATCCCACACCTTTGGGAGGCTGAGGTGAGTGGATTGCCTGAGCCCGCAGTTCGAGACCCGCCTGGGCAGTGAGACCTCATCTCTACATAATCAAAAAATCAGCCGGGCGTGGTAGCACATGCCTGTAATTCCGGTTCTACTTGGAAGGCTGAGGCGGAAGGATCGCCAGAGCCCAGCAGGTCGAGGCTGCGGTGGCCGGGAGCGGCCACTGCACTCCAGTCTGGGTGACAGAGTGAGACTCCAACTCAAAAAAAAAAAAAAAAAACAAAAGAATTGTATTCTTAGCATTAATAGAAAAAGGGGGACTGAAAAACCAAATACAGAGAACAATCCCCAGGCTTCCCCAGTCCCACCACTGCCTCTCATCATTGCAACCATGAGCAGAGGCTGCACCCTGACACTTGGTACTACCCAGCATGCTTGGTGTCCACATCTGGGAGACTGTAATGTGACTATTTAAAGCACTCACTTATTTATATATGCTTGTATCTCAGAAGCAGAGTTAGACTATCCAAGTAAGGCTTTTCACGCTTCTGAGAAACTCTTAAGAAGTAGCATCGAGGAAGCAGGAAAAAGAGATTAGTTGTTTTTTGAATTAATCTTCTTGTTGAACTCTACTTCTGTAAAGCCACTGAGGTACATAGAATGAGCTGTACCAATAAGCAGATACACCAGCTTGCCCCAGGAATCACTGTGGTTCTCCCCAAGCCTTGTGGGTGAGGAGGGCATGTAGTGTGGCCCAAGCTTAGTTCCAGAACTGACTCCACACCAACTCTGGGCCAACTGGGGTGTTGGTGAAGCTTTTCTACCTTCCGACCCTTGGTTTCCTCTTCTGCCTGGGAGACTCGAAATTCTGGGAATTAAATGAAATCTTTAAACACATAATGCCATATCTGGCCATCAGCATCCCTTGGTGGTGGCTCTGTTGTGATTTCTGTCACCCTCATCTGTAATGCATGTGAGGCAACAGCCTGGTCGAGAGCACAGAGTGGGAGCCTGTAGACCTGGGTTCTAGTCCCACCTCTGCCCCCTGCTGACTGGGACCTTGAAGATCATTCTAGCTCTGCAAAAGACCAGGAGAGGTGGTAAATGACACGGAAGGCTTGCTGGAGACTTGGGGGCAGGCAGGGTCTGCATGTCAACCTACCCAGGAGCATAGGAAGCGCACGTGCTGACTCACTGAAAATGATGGTGTTCTTCCTGACTGTGGCTCACACCGTTGGGTAACAGGCCCTGTCTCTTCCTCCTCTCATCACCATGACCCCAGGCTGCATCTACACTCCTAGTTTTACCAAGATTATGAAATCACACCGGTAAAGATGGCATAAGCAGACTCTTTTCATACCCTCTGTGTAAGCCCTCCCTTGGGGTCTGGTGGGAAGAAAGAGCCATGCAGCTGTCCTTCAGAGCTGCTGTCCATGTGGGCAAACTGGCTGTGAGGGCAAGTGCAGCCCATTGTGCACAAATTATATGATCTCAGCTGGGTCCTGGACCCAGCTCTAAAGTAGGAATAGCAATGCTAGGCTCTGAGAGCATTTGTGACAGTTGTGAGATCATGTCATGAAAGTCCTTAGGAACGACAGGCTTACCTTCTGTTTAACCCTGTATCCTGAATCTTCTGTAAGCTGCTTCACTGCTATAACAATTAAAATATGCTCCACAGAAAGGGCCATGTAGAGGGAAAATGAAAACTGGGCCTCTGCGTGGGCAATGTTGTTAGAAGCAGCTTCTTCACTGGCAGCACCGTCCTCATCCTTTAAGAATTAGACCTTCTCTGGGTGAGGAGAGATCTGTGACACTGGCTGTGGTCCGAAGAAGCGATTCGATATTGTTGAGTCTGTTACTCCGACCACCAGAACAGACACTCCACAGCCACTTCCCACTAGTCTTGGGTAAGCGCACACCGCATAGCTAGAGAGCTGGTCTGTCAAAAGCCAGTCAGTCCAGTGTGTTTCTTTTTCTTCCTAGTGAGACAATACGGAGCCCTAAAATGTGGTGTTGTGCACGATGAGAGAAGAAGGGTGGTATCCTTCCCACACCAAGAGTGAATGCTCTAGAAGTCAGGTGTCACCTGTTGTTGGGCACAGGAGGGTGTGTCCCAAAGGGGAAGGGGCTGAGAGGTGAGGATGGGGATCCTGGCACAGGGGGATGAGGCAGGCATCTCAGTTCCTCTAGACGTGGGTGATCAAGGGCCTCCCAAGCTTCCTAGCAGCCAGCAGGCATCTCAGGCCTTGCTTGTGTTCCCTGCCCTCTGTGGCCATCACGGTGAGCAGCACCCCTCGCAGTGTGTGCCAGGAAGGGTGTGGAATGGTGTGCAACTGTGCCGGGCCAGTGCGTGCTGCAGTCCTGGCTTCTGTCCTCTCCAGGGTCATAGCATCTGGAGGTCCGGATGAAGAGTTCTGACGAGGCAGAGGGTCTTCTGAAGGTCCACGGCCCAAGCACGGCTGACCTCCTGGCCTATGGTGGGTGGTCACTCTGGGCTTTGCATTTCTGTGTATTCCCTACCCTGTGCCCCAGTGGGCCTGATGAGAGGGGGCTGACTCAACGGTGGCCGTTGCTCTAAACAGTCGGGACATGGGGTGCTCAACAGCACTGGCCCAGAAGCTGCGTGTAGGCCTCTGTCCCTCGTGGTGGGGAGTCCCATACTCTCCCAGTGGGGCCCTGGGACGGAGGGCTGCAGAGCTGCAGGCGCCAGGAGCCTGGGGGTGTTTGCCAATGGGAAAAGTGCTTGTTTTTGAAAATGTCAGTGTCTGGATATTATTGTGAATGAAATGCTGACTGAAATTAAAGAAAAATGTAAGCGTTCATTATGAAATAGTGATTCAGGGAGACAGTTTTTCCAATGAAAGATAATATGTTTTTATTTTTAAAACTCTGATTTTTATTCTTATTTTGAAAAAAAAATTTATTAAAAACACCAAGAATTATTTGTATATATTAAATTAATAAATATGTGTCCAGATACAAACATACATGTCAATCAAAAGTCGGGAATACTCATTACTAGCTGGGTGTGGTGGTACGCCTATAGTTCCAGCTACTCGGGAGTTTGAGGTAGGAGGATTGCTTGAGCCCAGGAGTTCAAGTCCAGCCAGGTAACACAGTGAGATCCTATCTCTTAAAAAAAAAAAAAAAGTCAACTGGGATAAGCTGTTAACATTTTAAAGTATATAGTTCCACTCATTTCTTCAGATACACACACACACACACACACACACACACACACACACACACACACACTTTAAAACAAAAATACAATCGTACTCAACACTGTTTGTAACCTTCTTGTTTGTCTATCACATATTACTAATCATGAACGTCTTTCATGCCATTGAATTTTGACCTACAATAGCAACAACTCAGTTTTTCCTTCTTGGGTACAGAGAGCATTGTCTACTATCAGTGTGAATTAGCAGCTCATGGGTAGAAAAATCACTGAGGAGTCCTGAAATTCAGTGTCAGCAGGGTCAGAGGGAGGCTGGATTTGGGGGCCTGCTTACCCAGGCCGATCCCCAGCTACAGGAGACCCTTGAACAATGCAGCATTAGGGGCATGTAACTTAGACCTCCCTAAAATTGACCTGCTAATAACCTACTGTTTCTCAGAAGCCTTACCAATAAACAGTCAACTAGCCCATATCATGTATGTTATATGTATTGTACGTTGTATTCTTACAATAAAGAAAAGAAAATGTAGCCGGGCTCGGTGGCTCAGCCTATAATTCCGCACTTTGGGAGGCTGAGGTGAGCGGATTGCCTGAGCCTGCGGGTTCAAGACCCACCTGGACAACTTGGCGAGACCTCATCTCTACAATAAATCAAAAAATCAGCCGGGCATGGTAGCATGCGCCAGTAATTCCAGCTACTCGGAAGGCTGAGGCAGAAGGATCGCAGGAGCCCAGCAGGTCGAGGCTGCAGTGGCTGGGAGTGGCCACTGGACTCCAGTCTGGGCAACAGGGTGAGACTCCAACTC